CCGCCTCGGGCCCGAAGGGGCGGAGCTGCCTCCGCCCGGGGCGCGGGGCCGGCCGGGAAGGCGCAGGTCCCCCGGTGGTCCTGCCTTTTCCCTCCTCGCTGCATCGTCAGTTAACTCCCTGGTGCAAGTCCACCGCTGGTCTCCGTACCGGGGCCTCCCTCTGCAGCCCACCCCGGAGCCCCCCGGCCGTTCTGGGGGCGCTCCCCCGGCCAGGGACCTCGCCCCACCTGCCCCGGGCAATGAAACGGCACCTGGGCAAAAGGTGGCTGCAATGTAATTTGCATGTTAATCTGTAAATGGGTATACAGTGCAGAAACATTTCTCCGAAGAAAAGCAAGGCAACGTGTGTCAATGCTGCAGAGGGGCTTTGCTGTAACGGATTCCACCACCCACCATAAATCCTTCATAACTGGTTCCTGTACATTTAGTGCTTCCTGTCACGGCAATACAACATCAGCCAGAGGTTGTGGATGATGGGAACAGCCAGAGGAAACACCTCTTTCTTCACCGGCTCACAGCGCGGGACTTCTGCAGCTATAGAAATACCTGTGAGCACAGGCATAGGACACAGGTCGAGCTGCGTGTGCCACTAATGCCACTCTACTTCTTGAACCTTAGGAAGATTTATTTTCTCCTACTGCTACGAAGTCATATATATGACTTTATGCATAAGGATACCACAGGGAGTTTCTCTAGCATTTATATGAATACAAATTAAAGGCCACGGCTGTACAGACAATCCGTATCTTGGTTCCAAAGTCTGCATCCATATGTAAATGGATATGTTTACTTATTACATATTATTGTAAGGATGAGTTCATTAGAAAATGGTCTGGGGATAAGACCTAATACACACACACACACACACAATGTACATACATTCTACAATATTTGTGTATCAGGTAGTCATAATATATATCATAAAAAGCCTACATAATACTTTCCAAGCATGAATCATGGTTGCTAAATTTTTTTTTCCATCTTTCCTCAGAGTGCAAAATCCAAATGTTACCACCTCTGGAACAGCTGCCTTATATGTAATGTCCGAAGTCAGGCACCAGATAGTACCATATGGCATATCAAAGTCAAGTAAATTACACTTGTGTTACAAGACAAAAAACCCCAAACAGACAGGAAGTTCTTAGCAGTAAATGACTGGTGCAATGATTCAGTCTCGTCACCTCTCAATCCCTCATATCCTCTTCCTGGGAATTATACAGCCCATTCTACAAACTAAAAGTGATAATGCGTTCTCTCACTGCATGCACTGAACTGCTCAGTATTAGCACACAGCAGTAGAGGGGAAGCCCTGTGCTATTATAAACACGTAGACTCATTGTTTAATCTCGGGAAGAAACTGCAAAGTAGTAGTTTACATCACTACCTGTTTAGTGTTTTTAAAAAATAAATAAATAAATAAACAATGCACATTGCCTTAAATGTTTACATTCTTCCTGTGGGAAGAAAAGGAGAAACAGAGAGTAGGCTGCTACATGAATTCATGGGAAACTAACTCAGTGCTGACCTTCTTCCATCACATTTGATTCTTTCTTTCTATTTTTATGGCCTGTCCCAACTGCTGACTATCTCTTCCTTAGCAACAGCTTGCCAGATTACTGTTCTAGCACCGTGTTTTTGAAACCAGTATGGTTAAAAGCAGTAATAATATCCTTATAAATACGACTATAATGATATAACAGGTATTTCTATATTGAAATAGGTTATTTCCCTCAAATTCCAGTCACACTGGGACAAGCCCCTTTACATTAGCAGAAATATTTCTGCTCTGAGAGGTTGTATGATTTAACTGTTTTGACAAAGGGTCTTAACTGATAGTTCAACCAGAACAAAACTGCATAGACAAGGCAACACAGACTCCCCGCTTCCCTCTAACTAACATGTATTGTCAGGACTGCTACATCTGTGTCATCCCCAGGAAAATCAGAGAACAGCAATACAAATTCTTGTTAGCACCCTCTTTGCAGGCACCAGGAACATTCCCCTGTGTTGCTACCTTTCACTCTGGTGCACAGCAGGAGACAGATGACTTCCCAGACCGCGGAAGACGAGAGCGCAATGCCTACCCACATCCTAACAGGATTCAAGTCTGTACAGTATCTTTATTATTAACTTCCCTGTTTGGAACTTTCACCAATTACTAGTAAAAGTCCCAGGAATGAGAAAGGCCAAGTAATAAACACAGAAGGGAAAGTTTTGTTTCTTTGGGTTTTTTTAATTTTTAAAAAGTATAAAAATCCTGTACATTTGACAAAAGCTTTTAAAATCAGTCATAGGAAATGGCTGAGCTACTCCATTTCCTTTCTGTAAGAATCAGAGACATGAGGCATTTGAACAGTTTGTCACTAATCTGACTAAACACACTAGCCTTGAAATTTAATACTAAGTGCCAGTTGAAGTATTCTGGACCGTCTCAGTTGAAACGAAAATCAAAAGAATCATTTTCTCTTCTGCTTTTGTCAGTTCTAATATGCAATGTTTTTTTATAGTTCGGCAGTTCAGTAAAGTACCTCATGGTTTAAATGCTATAGAAATGCATGAAATTTCTATACACTTTTTCTACATATATGCATGTACAAGGAGCAGTCTTAATTTATGATGAGTTCTTAACATTCAAAATACAATATGATTTTAGGTTTTCCACATGGGCATACCCTTGTATGTCAGACAACATACCAGTGTCTTTTTTTCAGGCAATGACAGTGCTAAAACCAATGTAGTTTTGAAGAGGGTTACAGGTTAAACTCTGCCAGCCACCATTCATACTCCTCACTTGCCAACAACCCAAGCAGAGCAAAACGTAAACTACCAGTTATACTTATCAGAGATATCAACTATCCGCAGCCAGAATCTCAGGATATTCCTCCCAGAACTGGTCCCCAATAATGTCACAGTGCAGGGGAACGACTTTAGTCTTAGTCCGGCTCACTTCAACTTCCTTTTCTTCCGTTTCCTTTGGCAGTTTTATTTTCTTAGTCATGACTTCATTAATCTGAAAATACAGTTGACACATTAGCAGACATGTCAGACTCCAGAGGGGATTCACAAATGGACAAGAAACAAAGCTACAACAAAAGCAGCTGTCAACCCTATAGCATGCTACAGAATTTGAACACTGAATCTTTTGAAAGAGAGTCTGTTCTCAATTCAAAGGCTAACACATGAGCAGTTCAAACTGCATGCCACCTTCACATGGCTTGAAGAAATTACCTGCAAATTCACATAATCCATTGCAAATATTCTTGAATAAAATACAATACTTTATTTGGAGCTATATAAAACAAATGGGAAACCTTCCAAATGTCTACAATTACCAAGAAAAAAAAGTATGTATAAGAAACAAGCAGAATGTATTTCCAGGTGGGAGCCTCTGTCTGTTCTAAGTAGTTCAAATGAAATAATAGAATTCATTGGCCAAAATTAAATTAAAAAAAAAAAAAAAGGATTATCAGTTTTTTACATACAGAAGTTGAAAGGCTGAACAAGTTATGGAGAACTCTCAGCATAGGCTGATCAGATCCTGATCACACGAAACATACATCTTTCTAATTAAGATGTCCTACTACAGAAGGACACTAAGGCCATAAACATTTATGATTTTCTGGGGTCTCATCTCATACAAGACACAGGACAGGTATTTCTTAAACTAATTCTGCATCAATTATATAATCCAAGAACGATGAAAGTTTCCAAGTTATCATTAAAAGGAATTCCCCACTAACAGCTGCACTCCTTACTATGCTTCTTTACAGAAGTAGAAAAGGACTAAGCATACTACGAGCTGAGCTACCTTACTGGACAAAAGTTTGTAATTCCTTTGCGGTGGCAATACTTGGGATCTAATCCTGTGAAGAGCCTGGCACAGGCTCCAATTATTACCATATCAAGCTGACAGCAGTCATTAAAATGTAATTTTTCAGGAAACAGAATACTTCCTCCATTTTCAAAGCATGTAACACTAAGAAACCAACCATATGATTCATTAAACAAGGGAGATTTACTTAGCAAATACATCAGTCTTGTGAAATTCTACATATATATTGTCATCTGTTGATACACATTTTATCTCAACAGTCATAATTTGTATCTAAGCCAGACTTCAGAGACCAGTTTTCATACTATACTCTATATATAAAGATATTTCAAAAACACATCCAAAACAATTAGTCATCTTACACATCATTATATGGCAAATATGGTTAGTTTTAAAATATATTTATACATAGACATACATTTGGGATACATCTGGTGATCTTGCAGTGTAGCTTGTCTGCCATAGCGCAGCTATTTAAAACATGAGCATGAAGCAAGTGGTAATATAGTTTCCTACCTTCTGCCATATTAAGACAGTTCCTTTTCTATACATCAAAGGTTCATTGTTGTAGTTGATGTTGAATTCAGAAAATAAGATTTCATTCTTATCTCCAGCCAAAGTTCCCTGACAGGAAATGAAAAGAAAAAGTACTCTTATAGAAAACAAACAAGCAAGCAAACTGAATCTCTAGGGTAGAAGATGGGTGAATATTGGAAGTAAGATTGACGGTTACACAGAATTTTTACCTTTAAATTACAAGGTTTAATTACCTCTCCCCAGAGGAATTATTTCCAACTGCCAAATGAGGAAATTAAAACAGAGAGGTTTTTTATTACATTTTCAAGACAAATAGAAGAAAGCCAACAGACTCCAGGAGAAAACAGAAATAATCTGCTGATGTCTGCACAATGAGACAAAATACTACAGAAGGGACTGGGAATCAATAGCAGCTGAATCCTGCCATGGTACTTCATGCTTACGGATACTGGATGTTTATATGACATTTTTAAGATTTCTGGACTTGCTAATTAAGAAATCAAAATCCTGCTAATATTTGACCAAAAATACATTATTTGCTGATCATATTAACATCTGTACAATTCAAGAAGTTGTTGAATCTACACCCGCAAAATTATTACACTTATTACCCAGCCAGGGCTGCTGGGTAGGCAAGACACAGCTTAGCAAATCTCATGATTTTCTTTGTAGCTAGTTTAAAGAAGAAAAAAAAAAAAAACAAAAAAAACCCGCCTTGAGAGAGTCTTACCTGAGAAAGTACCTGTGCTTGCACTGGTGTCAAACCACTTCGCTGTACAAGCATCCAAAACACTGTATTATAGAGATTATTAATATGGCCTACAGAAAAAGAGAAAAGAGTGAGAGAAAGTATTTACCAAATCTGAGTGACTACTCAGAAAAAACAACTTCATTTCCAGAGTCATAACCAAGAAACAGCCACGAATAAAGGGGAATTAATAATATCAGTTGCTAGAGAAGATACAATCTTTCTGATTCATTTTTAAGGTATTGCATATCGTAAGAATGACAAGAAGATGGATTTCATTATAAAATTTCAAAAAGGGAGAGCAGAGGGTGAAGGGTGTTTATGTGTAACGTAAATTATCTTCATTTGAGCAACAGGGACTAGGTACTAACGAAAGCCTAGAAATGAAATCCAACTGTCTGTTCTAGCATGGAAAAAACAGCGCTTTTGATTACTACAATTTTGCTACATGGTGTGAAGTTGAACATTCACATCTCTTCATTAAAGAGGATTACCTTGGCTAAACAAACCTGGAACATAAAAAATAATAAATGAATTATATTAATAATTCTAATATTTTCTGGGCTGAAATCACTCCCAGCATGCAACAAATATAGTTGTATCCTGAAGACTCAGAATTTCAGCCAGTATTTCCATACCCATACAAAGCCCAAAACAATTCTAAGATTGTTTATTTAAAACTACCACCCTACCTGCTGTTCTTTCACTGACGCCTGTATGTACAAATACACTGGCAATAAAGGCATTTCTATTCAGAGAGGAAGAGAACTCAACTGCACAAATCTCTGTTTTCTAGAAATGCTTACAATCTGCTTGTCTCCAGCTGAGGTAGTCCTTTAAATTTTGGTTGCTGGGATACAACACAATTCGTCCATCAAATCCTGGTGGGTACAGAAGTTGCTGGTCCTTAAAGTAATCCTTCCAATAGAAAACGTAACTTGAGGCAAATTGGGAGACCACATGAGTCATGAACTTACTTGCAAACACAAAGCAAAAGGAAAAAAGAAAGAAATATGTCAATATGATTATATATCTGTGATTATCTGAGGTATTAGTAGCAATAATTCTGGTGGACAGCAGCGTTTCTTAAATAATGGCCCAACATATCAGCTACGGCATAGATTCTTCTGAAGAACAGGAAGTACTGAGAATCAAGTAAGAGAGTTTGGAAAAGGAAACATTTTGTTAAAAGAATATTTTTTCTAACAATGTTTGTTTCTAATGTTTGTTTTATCAAAACTTTTTTTAAAACTCTCTATCACTGAACATATTTTCCTGAAAGATCACATGCAAAGAGTTCCCGTGAAGAACCTGAACTAATTGTAGTGTATACACCCAAACACAGCCCTACTCCTAACCTCTGCGTGTAGATAAAGGCAAATCTAAAGAAGAATTACAGATTTAGAGAGAGATGTTAAAAACAAGTTCACTTCAGTATCAAAGCAGCTGTTACCTTGCTCTTCTTTTAAACCATCTACTCTTCTTTTTGAAAACAAAACTATATTCATCGCTCTGTCCATAAGCAATAGCAATATCCTCCAACTCTTGCATCACTGTCTGGGCACACTTGGTCATCAGATGAAGAGCACGGTCATCATTTGGCTTTTTGAACCCATGCTGCTCAGAAAACCTTCAAAGCAAAAATGGTTAAATAAGAATACCTTAAAAAGCTACTAAAAATGCTAAGCCATTCATTTTCCTCATATTTGCTTTCTGTGAATATTGACTTCCAGTATCCTGTCAATACTGACAGAGAATTCCCTTCAGGTATGAAAAGCAGTAACAAAAACCCTCTTTTTATACATTCTGGATAACTCATTCTCCTTCCCATCTGTATCTCACCCTAACCAGTCCTTCAAAATGACCGGGTTCTGTATTTTACTTGGAAAAGGGTGACAAATACTACTTTCTGTAAACTCACTTTCTCCTAGGGTGCCTTTTATACTCGGTCCAACAAGGGCAACATTATCAACGAACTCATCAAGACCCGACAGCTTTACCAGAACCTCACGTGACCGAACCAGAGATCAAATCCCCAGCAAGAACATGTCACTCACCACTCAAGAGAACACTGCGCTATTCATCCCGATGAAAGGCGAACGCCACACAGACACTGACTCCAAACACAAGTCAGTATCCCTGTATACCAGCTGCCGTGTCCCCGTCCCACCCACCCCCAGCACACCCAAGGCACTGGTGTACCATTTCTCTGCCACCCTGCTGAAAGCACAGCTCTGAAGCAGCCCGTGGCCCTTGAAGACAAACACCCGTAGTAGCTCCGTGCCCAGGAAAGGCCGAGTGAAGGGTCCGTAGGGATCAGGGGGGCAAGGAGGATTTGTAACCCCTGCACCTGCAGAATCCCCAGGGGTCGGGCGGGGAACAGCCAAGGCCAACTGCAGGGCACCAGTCAGGATCCCTCCGGGGGC